CCCCAGACTGTGACAAGTTTAACCAGTGTGGCACGTGCACAGAATTCAAAGTGTGCCACACGATTCAGAACTACACCCTCTGGAGAGTCGGCGACTACGGCTCTGTGTCCGGGCGGGACAAGATGATGGCAGAAATCTTCGCCAACGGCCCCATCAGGTAGGCCCTGGAAGCTGCTGCCGGGGAGGAAGGGTCAGCCTGTGTGGGCTCAGAGCCAGCGGCCACCCATGCCGCTGCGGTGCCTGCCTTTGAACAGGCCGACTCAGGGTTCAACTCTCCATCCTGCCACCTTCCTGGAAGACAGAGCAACTCTGTCTCCTCACAGGATGGTGAGTACGTACACACACACACACACACACACACACACACACACACACACACGAAATTCACTGCCATCGAGTCGATTCTGCCCCACAGCGGCCTACAGCCCAGGGTGGACTGCTCCTGTGAGTGTCCAAGGCTGGCAGTCTTTGCAGGAGCAGAGAGCCTCGTCTTTCTCCCAGGGAGCAGCTGATAGCTTCGAACGCCTGACCTTTCAGTTAGCAGTGCAACGTGGAACCCAATGTGCCATCAGGGCTAACATGACCTGTGAGGGGGCTTCAAAAGTGTCTGGAAAACTTCTAATACCTTTTGGTTCCACTTCCTCACAGACGTTTAGAAACACCCGTGGGCCCAGATGGTGCCAAGGTGAAGCAACTGGGTGCTGAGGTTGGCAGTGTGAGCCCCCAGCGGCCCTGTTGGAGTAAGAGCCGTGGTGTCTGCTTCCGCAAAAAGGAACCCACAGACGTGGAGGCGGTTCTGACTGAGCCCGGGGAGACTGAGTGGACAGCCTGCCAGCTGCCCAGGCGGGCTTCTACTGACACAGGCACCACTGCTCCCCCAGGGCAGCTGCTGGCTTTGAACCACCCGTCTAGGTTCCCAGTTGAATGCTTCACCGCAGTGCCCCCAGAACCTCTCCATAAGGGGGCCATCTAGGAAGACCTGGGCCCCACCCTGCCAGCACAGGGTGGCTATGAGCCGGCATGCCTCCATGCACCCGACATCCACACACATAGGCAAGCACATGTGGAAAAGGGGCCCAGAGCCACCCGAGGGCTGTGGAAACTGGTTCACTAGCCAAGAAGGGAAGCAAAGGGCAGCCGCCTCTGAGAGCCTCTGCGTGGGGTTGACAGCTCACCAGCCCCGCTAAGCAGGGCCAGGTCTCTAAAGCGGCTCCTCTTGCACTGCCTTTCCTCAGCTGTGGGATCATGGCGACGGAAGGCATGGATCGGTACAGCGGAGGCATCTATGCGGAGTACCAGGACGAGCCCTTCATAAACCACATCGTCTCGGTGGCCGGGTGGGGCGTCAGCAACGGCACTGAGTACTGGATTGTCCGGAACTCCTGGGGGGAGCCATGGGTAAGGAGCTCCCTCCCTACAGCACTCGTCTAGGGTGCTGCACCCTCCCTTCTGTGGTCCTGGGAGTTTCATGACTGACTGGAGCCCCTGCTCCAGCCCCTGGCGGTGGGCC